TCATCGATAGATCACGTGATATTAATAGTTTTCGATTTTTATTCCAGTGATGCGTTATTTTTGATCGCCACTGTAAAAGAAAAAATTAATATAAGCTTTTTAAATCGTTCTCATTAATAAGTTTGGCTTCTCAATAGATTATGGGTATTTATAAAAATTTTATATTGGCGTAAAATTAATCATTCTGGGTATAAAGATCATTGGAAAATTCGCTATATTTAGTAATTAACGGAATATTCATTATATATCATAATGTATGAAACTCAAACACACGTTCAGGACTCAATTAACTGAGACAAGGCAAGATTTAGATGATTAATAATGGTAAACTTTTATTTTAGTGTTAAATCTAAATCATAGAAAATAAATGGCATCTCCAACTAAGAACCATTTTTATTTTTTAACAATCATACGCAATAAAAGGTGCAATTGCCTCAATAATTGACTTTTAAAATAAAAAAAGTTATGTCGAAACAATATTCAAATCATTATACAATTTCAACTCGTGGCTTTGAATTCAAATCTATAAGTTTGATAAAAAAAATTTCAATGATCACCTGGTAAAGGACATTATATTAAAAACAAATAAAAAATATATGAAATTAATACAAGTATGAAGCATCAAAAACCTTTACACAGAAAGACTTACATAAAATATTGAAAACAAGCTCATAACATATTTATTTGTAACCATTAACAATCTGCAAATGCTACCGCTCCATTTTCACATTGCCTTTTCACCAAGCTTGAGTGTTTCTCATTAGAAGAAGGAGCTGAGAAAGCAACATGACTGAAGGCTGAAATGACGATAATAAACATGAAAATGTGAAGTTTCATGATAACTTTGGAAGTATTCGAAGGATTAATATATATTATAAACAGATTCTTGTAGGAAATGAACCTAAAGACGTGTATTTATAAGAAAATCAGATTAGAGTTACAATTTAAATTATTTGATGGAATGGCAAAATTTCCTCACTTTATATAGTTTTTTTTAATTATCAAGCTTACCGGGCTTATCCTTAAAAAACTTATACTTGCTTGCTAGATATTCTCATAAAGAGCGTTACAGCCTTTACAGCCTCTCAAATGCTGTAATAAATATTTGCAATCAATCACAAATCCTAAAAATAATCGGTTAAAAAAAAATTTAAGCTATTGTTCAATGAATATAATTCTGCCCACAGATGATAATTCTGGTCAGCACATCTGTTGATGTTAAATTTAGCTAGACTATGAAGATCAATTCCGGCAAGTTCAGCAAATGTAACAGCCAAGAGACTTTGATAATGTAATGTAACTAATTAGGAAGATTTTAATGGCTTTGTAACTAATTAATAAATTACGCCCGAAAGATCACGATTTACGCTTGTAAATTAATTTTGATAATTGTGACAAGTAAAGCTCTGCATAAGCCGGATTGATTTGGCTTGCCATGAGCTTAAACCGAGCCACTTTTATTTTGGCTTGGCTTAGCTCGGATCATGACGATAATCGACAATCCAAGCAAGTCAAGCCAGTTGTAAGCCGGCTCATTCGGCTTCTTTTTCAAAACGAAATTCCGTCGACAAAAACATTTCCAAAGGCCTTTTTATCAAAGAAAACCGCTTCCGGAGGCGTCCCTTGAAGGGAATCGCCACCGAGACGTTTTTTTCAAAGAAAACCACTTCCGGAGGCCTTTTTTTCTAAGAAAACACTTCCGGAGGCGTTTCCCTTCAAGGAATTACCTTCGAGGGTTTTTTCCAAGGAAAGCCACTTCCGGAGGCGTTTTCTTTGAAAGAAATAGTCTCTGTGGCTTATCTCTTACAGGGAATCATCTCACTGATTTTTTTTAAGGAAAACCTTAAATTTTTTACCAATGTTGAATAGATAAAAAGGCTTGTGATTTAAGTATTGATTTGAATAATTTTCTAAAATTATTTTGTTTTTATTTTTAAAAAAACTATTCTGATTTAACTATGTCATATAGCGAAAATAACTAATGTAATATAATAATTAATAAAAATAAAAAACCAAGTATAATATTTTAGCACATATACATGATTTGTTATTTTCCACAGTACAGAGACATTCAACGTAAATTTCTTATGACACCGGAGGTTTCGACAGGCATCGACAAAATGGAATTTGAGTTTTGCCCCGCAACCTTATTTCATTTGCACATTTTAGTTGGGATGAGAATATGCTAAAATTCGTTGCTTTTTCAAGAAATTTAATTGTAAATATTATCAAGTAATGGTGAAATTCCGAAAAAAAAAAAACCGATTATTAAGCACCGAAAATCGTGCTTGTGTTACAAACAACTTTTAATTTAAACAAATATTTGTTTATCTCATGAGCTCCATTATTAAATTTTTATTTATTCGATTAATTAATTACTCCTACAAGATAATATAAATGCAAAAAAGTTTGTTTGTTTTAAAATTAAATAAAAATACAGTATTTTATAAAAAAAAAAAAAAAAAAATTATTTAATATTAAATTTTATAAATAAACCATATTCCCATACTTTCATACATAAACATACATGTTTACGTAAAATATATAACATTAAATTTAATTGTATATTGATAAAAATTATAAGAAAAATCGGCATTGTGCTAATATTATGAGAATTTCATTCATTTTTGATTATAAAACATCATCTTTTTCTTTATATACAGTATAAGACTAAGTAAATCTCTATTGTCAAGTACTGTTCATCGGAATTTGAGGCAAAATAGTACAGATTTAGTAGTATCTCAAAATATTTTTATAGTTGTATTCAGTTCTTTCGTTTATGTATTTATAAACAATTTTAAATGTATGCAGAAGGTATTGATATAATAAAAATAAAGTAATAATGATAAAATATTTTTTTAATATTATCAAATTAATAAGTGTTGCCTCAACGTTGGCGCTCTACACTTTCGCTTGATCAATATTTTAAACTCTATAAATGCCAAGTACTAAATTTTATTTAATTGAAACTGCGCAAATTACGAAACAATTACATAAAAATTGAATTATAAAATACTAATAAAATCGGAAATTAAAAATAGAAATAATAAACGATGTTACATATGCGAAATTAAAAAAAAAAGGGAATTCTCAACTATTTTCGCAATGTTGTAAAAATTACTTCTTTATTATCCGTTACCATTGCTTTAATTATCGTTATAGCGTCATCTGTTAACGCTGTTTTTATTAGTGAAATTGTTGAGAACCTTGCTTTTTCCGATCATCTTTAATTTATTAAAAAATGAGATATAAATGAACAAGAAGGTAAAACTAAATCATTTCAAAAAAAAAAAAATAAAATTTAATTTAAATTGTATATATTTTGAATCATGTAGGCGGATTAGAAACAAGAAATGCCGCAAAGATCGTGGTCATAAAAATAGTCACGAAATTGTGCGTCTACCATTTATTTATCGGCCAAATTTTATAATATTCAAATGCTCTGATTTCGACCTTTTCAGGTCTAGTTAATAAATAAAAATAAGCTAATATACTGTATATAATTACATCAATTGTTAGAATTAATATTAGGGTTAAACAACAATTAGTCTTGGATTATTTATAAAAAAAATAGTATGCTAAATCTTTAATAAATTATTTCACGTTGTGTTAGACATCGCTGGTAAACCCGATAGCTTAATGATAATAATTTATCATTAATAATACTATACAATTTATAATTTTATGGTTTAATATTTATATTTGTTTATTTAAATATTGAACATGAATATTTGTCAAGGTGACGATCCGTTCAAAATCTGTGGAAAAAGGAACTGATCTAACCTAAAAAGCTAAGGGAAAAGGCCGTCCATGACCATATTAAATAAATAAAATCGGTATATAAACTTATAAATTTTGGTAAACGATTATTTTTCATAATTAAACAGAGAAAGTCGTTATATCGAGTTCTAATTTTGCATTTTTGGGGTTAAGCTTTGACTCTATATAGTGTAATAATGAATATATGAATATTTTCCAGAACATACATATTTACTTATAAATTATAATATAAAAACGGAATATTAGGTCGGAATAGTTTAGATATTACGTAGTAAAATTTTATAATTGATAATGATACGAATTAATTTAATTCGGGTCTGAGCTTCTCACATATACATTAATTTTAAATTATTTTGATATTCTTTGGTAATAAATATTTGGTAACATATTGAGGACCCTTTTATGTATTATCCAAAATGACTCCTTATTTGATGGCTTTCCGAAGACCAATGCAGGAGACACTTTATTTTTTTTTCGTGTACTTTCTTCATATTGTATTTTAATTTTTTTTAAAAAAACTGAAGATTTCTTTTTGTGTGCGCTTGTAGTTACAGTGTAATTCATCGGCCAAATCACCAAAAAAAGTCGATATCCTTTTGAATGAATTAAAATTTAATGCTACCTTTAATTATAAAAAATAATTGACCTTTGATAAAGCATTTAAATATTCATGACTTTATCCAAACGGTATTAGATTTATTTACTTTGAAAACATCGGGTATATGAATAATTTGCTTTTTATAAATTCGTGAGGATTCACATGCGGAAATGCAAGATAGAATAAATAACAAATAAATAAAATTAGTGGCTAAATATTTTAGTCTTAAATCATTGCAATCGCTTAGCTTGTATAGCAACAATACAAAATAAAAAAAGTATTTAATAAAAAATTTGAAGCTAAACTATTTTATTCACAGATTTTTATGTATGGAAATTAAGTTGAATAAGATTTTTTTATAATAGATTAAATCACTTGAATCGAAAATGTTGTAAAAGGTCTTAATGTTTTACTGAAATAATTTGAATCATTTATTCGGTTCATTTGATTTCTTTTTTAATAATATTTATATATTGGTAAAAAATACCTTTTTAAAATTCACGATTTAAAAATATTGAAAAACTCCATAATTTCGCATGTAAATCGTTTTCGATATTTGCAGTTAGTCCTTTGAAAATTATTTGCCAGGCTGTCTAGGTGCCAGTATGACAAAATGTCAGGATGCCCGGCTGGCCTAATAATAGTTTTTTTTTTTTTTATAAATACAAGTCGGAAATCATTAAATCACGATCGCCCTTATTATATTTTGCATACATACACCTAGAGGTTGGAACCGGCCAAAGTTAATTTTAATTAACCGGTTAATAACCGGTTAAAATATTTGTTAACCGGTTAATTAACCGGTTAAAATTAACTTTGGCCAGTACTATAAATTTGGCTAGAGTTAGACAATATTTTGTCAATAATAAAAATCTTAATTCTGGCCGGAAATTGAATTTCGGCCGGAGTTAAATTCATCTATTTGGACCGGTTAAAAAAAATCTTTAACCGGTTAACATGTTAACCGTTTTAACCGGTTAATTAACCGGTTCCATCTTCTACATACACCTCGAAACCTTCCTTTAACCCTTCGCGATATTTTCGCTTTCGTCGTTTTAACAATTTAAATTCCTATTTTCTTATTATTTTTATTATTCAAATATTTCGTAATTGCGCAGTTTTAATTAAATTAGTTTATTGATTGACATTTTATTTAGTTTAATATATTGACTGATTAATTTGATATTGTTAAATAAATTTGGCGTCAATATTACATCATTTTTACATAATAATTATTCAATAAATACCTTCTGCTTACGTTACAAATTGTTTATAAATACATAAACGAAAGAACTGAATGTCAAAATAGGCGCAGGAATGACGATTGGAATTTTCACATGACACCACATCAGGTGATCATCTAATTACACTTTAAATAAAATAGCTAAAATTGGAAATATTTTTTTTTTCAATTTTTAACTTTTTGTAAAAAATGTCTTTAAAACGTTTGCAAGATGATTATGAGAGATTATTTGAAAATGACAAAAGTTATGATGTCATAATTAAATCCGGTAAAAATGAAAACGTTAAAGAACTACAAGCACATTCAAATATTTTACGCTTCAGGTCGCAATATTTTTATGATGAATTAACTAAAGACAATGTTGAAAAAATGGGAGGAAGATTTATTCTAAAAATACCCAAAATTCCTCCTCATCTTTTTAAAATTATCTTAAGGTAAATAAGGTGATTATTATGTACAACAGCTATGACAATATACAAATAATATTATTTCTTTGGATTTCAGATTTATGTATTGCGGAAGGATTGACATGACGAAATTAGAAGGAATTGAAATATTGAAGCTTTTAAACGCAGCAAGTGCACTTAAACTCCAAACCTTAGTTCCCGACATTGAAGAATATTTAATTCAAGATCGTCATGAATTTTTACAAAATCATCCTATAGAAATTCTTGAAACGATTTATCAACAAGAATACTTTACGAAATTGCGGAATTTTTATCTCGAAAAAATTTGTGATGACCCCGAAGAACTTTTTAATTCTGATAAATTTGTCAGTATAAAAGCACCTTTATTAGAATTCATTTTAAAGCTGGATGATTTGAGTCTGGATGAAGTTGATATTTGGAACAGTTTAATTAAGTGGGGCTTGGCTCAGAACCAGTCTATTCCTGAAGACGTCAAAGAATGGAGAAATGAAGAAATTATAATTATGGAAAGAACTCTTAATAGATATATTCCTTTGGTTAGATTTCATCATATGTCTTCAGAAGATTTTCTTGAAAAAGTACTTCCTTTTAAGGAAATATTACCGAACGATTTGGTTGTTACCACTTTAGCGAATGCTTTGTCATCAGATAAGAAATTTATCACTAATGAAAAACCACCTAGACATTCAAAATGTGATTCAGTCCTCGTTAACTTACGGCATTTTGCTATATTTTCTGGTTGGATTGATAAGAGAAAATATAATTTCAAGAAAATGCCTTATAGTTTTAAATTACTTTATCGTGCCAGTAGGGATGGTAATACATCTGAAGCATTTCATCGAAAATGTGATGACAAAGGTGCCAATATAGTCGTAATAAAAATTAAAGGAACGGAACAAATAGTGGGAGGATATAATCCATTTGGGTGGGAAGGAAATAGTAAACATAAATCTACTTTAGATAGTTTTATATTCTCATTCGAAAATAGAGCAAATCTTCAAACTGCGAAAGTAGGTTATATCAAGAATGATTATGCACAAAATGCTGTATATTGTAACCCTATTAATGGTCCAGTATTTGGTAATATTGACAGTAATGATATTTGTTTTTATAATAATAATTGGTATGCTGTAAACCCATCTTCCTATCCTAAAATTGATATTCCACAAGGTCAATTTCAAGCTGATGATTATGAGGCATTTCGAGTTAATTAATCTTTTTTCAATACTTATTTTATTTCAAATAAAAAAAATTATTTACTTTTTAATCCTTACGTAATATGTTAAGTTGTGAAAAAGTATGATTTATTTGTGTAATATTTTATTTATTGTAATTATGGCGAATTAGACGCGCCTGTTTTACACGATATAAAATTGAGTGGTGATTAATTAAAATTCAAATCAATTGATACTGTATATATCCAACATTTTCTAAAATTATAAATAAGAATTAAAATTATTTTATTTTAAAAGTAAAAGGCTAATTTCCATCGATCTATTTATAAATTATGAGGTGAATACTGATATTAATAATTTCGCGTATGCTTTACTTTTATGATCGTGATCGACTTGATATATCGTTACCCATTCGAAATTTCAGAAAAAACACATGGCTGACGTGATAACCTAACATTTTATTTCAAAGAAATAATTTTTTTACTCAAAAAATATACAGCAAGTGTTCATTCTAAGTGTTGTTTGTAAAAAATTAAAACAAATTATAAATGGACTTAATTATATTCATCAGCAAGCAATTATTCAAGATTTTCATAGTGGAAAAATTCTTTGTGAAAATGAATATGATATATTATTAAGTGATTTGGGAAATTAGTAAAATAACAGAATCAGATAATGATATGAGATGTTATGGAATTTTGCCTCATATTGCTCCAGAGATTTTTCAAGGTCAAAATTATAAAAAATATACACAAGCTTCAGATATGTATAGCTTTAGTATGATTATGTGGGAATTAATAACAGGTGGAAGACACAGAACTAATGATTCGAATGATTGTCCTCCGATGATACAAATGCCCAAAGGTTATATTAAATAATGAAACTACGTTGGAATTCTGAACCAGATAATAGACCAACAGCTTCTAATATTAATCATCTTATTGATGAAATCTTTTTAAATGAAGTAAAAGCGCCAACAAAAGGGTTAATATCAGGGGATTTTGAACTTATTATAAAAGATGATTTATTACAGTATTATGCATAATATGGATGCGATTTTGAAAAGTCAAAATATTAAAGATAAATAATATAATTAAAACTAAAATGAATAAAAATCAATAATTTTCATAATTTCAACTTAAAATTTGCGATAGTTTTTTATTTGCCAGAGTTTCGAATTTTATCTATATTAAAAAAAAGAAAATTTTATTATTCATAAATAAATATTTGTCTTACAAACAAACTTAAAATCTTTTATTTATTGCACATGCTATTTCGATCATGAATTAAAAATCAAAAAGTTGACTAATATGTTCATATACAGTAAGATTTATTCAGCCTTTTTTATAAAAAAAAAAGGACAACGGATATTGCATCTAAATTAGGATCTTTCACAGCAGCTCAGTCATTTGAAAATAGAGACGTTGTGTCTGCCTTTTTTTTTTTTTTTTTTTTTTTTTACAAAGCCGTTGATTTCGAGAAACGGATTTATTGAAATAAGACCAATTGAATAATAACTAATTTTTATCTTTTATAAAATAAACTAATTCCTTAAAAAGATCAATGAACCATGAATAAAAAGAATAGGAAAATTATAAATAAGTTCGAATCTCCAATGTTGAATAAAACTTCGAAAACTTTTATTTGCATTTATATTTTATAAACATTCAAAGTTGAAATAATCCCTTCTAATATTTTTAGAACAAGAATAATTTTAAAGAAAAAAGTTAGAGAACTAACGGAATTTACAATAATTAATAGTAACATTTTTATAAATCGGAAGTAAATACAATGATTAGAAATAATTACAATATAATTTACCATGATTGCTAAATATAAATAAATAATAAATTTAGTAAAGTTTTAATTATAGCAACAAATTTATAATTAATTATAGATATTTATTAATATATTGGAGTATGACCTACTTACTCCTATTGTTTATCTATTTAATGGATCAATATATCATGAATCATCCATCCCACTTTTTTTATTTATTTATTTATTTATTTTTTACCTTCACAATTGAAGATATCTGAGTAAACTTAAAAATTTTTCTCAATTTAAACTTCAACAAATTTAAACTAAGATAATTTTCAAAATCCAAGACAACTATTATAATATATTACAAAAAAAAAATAGTATTATTTTAAGTACGTTTTGAGCGTGTTTCATTTCGGTTCCTTCTTCGGTTCTGCTTCGACTCTGCTAAAGTAAAATAAATTTTTGAGACGACTTAACCGTTCGATATTTAAAATTTGTTTAACTATCGTCTATTGAAAAGTTTGCTGAATGGAGAAATAGATCATCCAAAAAAGAGGAAGAATGTCGTAATACAATGATTTGTCGTGATTTGCTACAGTATAATGTCATATTTATTAGGTCATTGTCGAGCAGATTCTTTCACATGAAAGTTTTTTATTATTTATGATGTAATTTAACGCCTTCAATATATTTACAGAAAAATTGTGTTTCTCTTTTTCGCGACCTTTTTCGTTTTCTTTGCTAATAAAAAAGCGAAAATCTTACTATTATGTTGGTAGTTATTATATGAGGCATTATTGTCGCTCCTCGTGAGCTTATCGTCGCTCTTTATTGAGCTTATCGTCTCTTCCTCTCGAAGTTTTTTTGAAAGGGATACTGCCCGATCAAAGAATTGGACCACGTGATTTTGTTAAACCAATTGGCGTAATTTTATCGATCATAGCTCGTGATTCCAATGCATAAAAATGAGAATGTGTCATATTTTTTTTCCTGCACAGCCACGAACTTCTAGTATTCGAATATATTTTTTTAAAACGCCCAAAACCTGAGAACTCTCTGAATTTGAGCGAGGTAAAATAATTGGCCATTGGAAAGGTGGTCACGTTGAGCGAGATATTGTAGATATATGGAGTGATAAGTCTCGCTTTTTATTGTGGTAAATAATAATTGTTTGTTTGTCTTTTGTAATTAACTTATAAAGCTAATGAGGTTGATTTATTTTTCAGTTATGGATTAGTTCACTTCAAATCGCATTCAGAAGCGGGTTTATTCTTTCATGCAATGCATGATAAAAGATTTACTGGGCCATTAATTAATATATTTAAGTTTAGTGCCGCAAAAAAATTCAGAAGTAACGAGTTTGTCCAGTATAGCACTGAAGGTCAAGAGAGAGAAATAAGAGTACTTTTAATCTTTTGATTTTTAATTAATTATTGTTGTAAACTTATTATTAACTAATTTATAATACTACTCAGGTTAGTCAGGTATTTACTATTACTCGGGTTGATACTTCTCAGGTTGATACTGCTCGGGTTGGTACTACTCAGGTTAATATGCATCTCAAGATATAGAAGATGTAGTTTCATCCGGAGTTCAAGTAAATACTTAAAAACTTTCAGTTTTGTTTATGCAATAAAATCAAATTTTATTAAAAAGCTGGCAGCTGTCACAGATGACAACGAAAATAACGAAATTATGAAATCGACTTGGACGCCCACAACAGACTTTTACGTGACAAAGAATAGTTTTATCATAAGTGTGGAGTTACCGGTATGTATATTTGTCAAAATAAATTTTTTTTTCATATTTACAACAAAAGTTTAAAAAAAAAGAAATTAATATATTTAATAATCAACTCGTCATTTCTGGTAGAGGGCTCAATTTTCAGGCGGTTCAATACAAAATTAAAGAACGTCATGATTAGAGGTTGGATCCGGCCAAAAATTCTTTAACCGATTAATTAACCGGTTAAATTAACTTAGGCCAATAATATAAATTTGACTGGAGTTGGACAATAATTTTGCAAACTTAAAAATCTTAATTCTGGCCGGAAATTGAATTTCGGCCGGAGTTAAACTCATCTATTTTACCGGTTAAAAAAATCATTAACCGGTTAACATATTAACCGGTCAATCTCTAGATATGAATGGACCCTTTACTCGTAAAATTACTTTAACTTCAAGCATAAGCGACGATAAAGTTACCGCTAAGTTTGAAAATGGGCTTCTCCAATTGAACATTTTGAAGTTCTTTCCCACGAACAAGAAAATCGATATGATTTGATCCGGCTTTAATTATTAATATTTTTCGCTTTTATTGATAGTTGATTAGTAAAAACTTCATTTGGGAAGTTTTAGGAATTAATTAACTTAAGACGTTTTCTTTTTTAATTTCTCTTATACTTTTTTTTTCTCTTGTTTATCATTTGTCAAATTAGAAAGAGGAAGAAAAAAAAGAAACTTTCTTTCCTTTATCTGCTGAAAGAATAAATGAGCACAGTAAATAAATTTTACTTCTATTGTTGAATATATTTCGTGAAATGTGGAGATGTATGGTTAATTAAAAAAAGTAAAGTCATACTTTGGTAAAATGCAATGTAAAATAAATCGCGTCCTATATGAGAGTTATTGTCAAACATGCAATCCGAACTTTAATTTATTGAAACAACACGTCCTGGTTGTGAACGCTACATTTATCACGTATAAATTTTGACGTATTAGTTGTCGCTTCAATTCTTTTTGATAAATCAAGATCTGCTAGTTTGATGGATTAATATATTGCCTGAATGCTATTCATATAAAGAAAAAAAAATATATATTATTGATCATTTAAAAAGAATTGTTCATAATAAAATAAAATTAAACAAAGGTTACCAAGTCACGATGTACAATTACTTCGTCATGTAAACACGATATAGCATAAGCCAACTGGAATGCCAAGTTATATTTTTCCCAAATCAAGCTCCTTCAAATAGTTTTTAAGCGCACCATAATCAGCATATTCCATTACTAAACAATAATTTTTCAATATTTTTTTTATATAAATAAGTTAAAAATCAAAATTTAAAAGTCAATATTAAACTATAATTAACCTCATTATATAAGATTTTATACCTTGGTTTGATGATGTAATTCCCAAAAGACGAATGCTATTGATATGAAAATTAACTTCCCGTAGAAGTTCAAGCTAGATTATTATAAAAATAAATTTGGCTATACTTAATGAACCAATTTTAATTAAGTACATATTGTATATTAATTTACCTCACAACAAGTTCTTCAACAGTGTAATCATTTGTACGATAGACTATTCCAAAGCTGCCTTTACCAATTTCTTGAAAATTACTAAATTGCTTATATTCGTTGTATTTGATACTTTTTCTTGAGATAGATTCTTCAATCCAATTAATCCACTTATTAGAATTGTTGGAAGCTTTCATGCTGATTTAATAAATATTGTATATAACGAAATGAAGTAAAATTCTTGGATGAAAAGCAAAAAAAAAAATGCACGTGGAAATCATATAACGTTAATCAAATTTCTAAGCCACGTATGACGACAATGGCTTTTCTTGAAAGTTTCACATGAAAAAGAGATTTCTAAAATAAAATTACCTTTTATTAACTCTTATAATTAACTATTTTAAATTACTAATACTAATACTGATAAAATTTTGCATTCATCACGATTTATAACAATAATTCTTGTTAGAATAAGTATAAAAAAAATATAGCAATAAAATAATACAAGTTTTAAAAGGAACTTACTAAGGATATGACGAAAAGTATATTCATTATATAACGGAAACTCGTAAGAAAATCTATAAATTATATAATCAATGTAAAAGAGACGAATTTTATTTTTTTTTTTTATAAAAAAAAAAATATTTATTATAGAACCTAAGAACTACCAAAAGAATATATTTCTTCAGTTACTTGTACCATTATTTATAAAATAATTTTTGTAAAAAAGAGTACAAAAAATTTCAATTAATTATAGGAACGTAATTCTATCTGTTAATAATTTTTCACATGGTGAAAGGTTGATATATTGCAGGAGTCGGTTGATACAATTCTGAAATCACGAATTTATAAATTTTTCCAGTTTTTCTTTGCAGTGTTTATAATTTGACGTGAATACAAATTCGATTTATTGAACAGCAGGTTTACCAATGGTAGGTAATTAAATTTAAAAACTCCATGATCTGTGTAGTTTTAGTGATGAAAACATTTTAATCCAGGACAAATACGTATTGATCTTGGTTAGGAAACTGGCGTTGTTAAAGCGTCCGAAGCGTTATTGGTAATGATCCCTTTTAATGAATTAAAATTAAATGCTACAAAAAAACAATTGACCATGATAAGGATATGATAAAGATTTTTAGATATTCATATCTTTGTAGACTTGCCCAAACGGTATTTAAATATTACTTATAGACGTCGGGTATATGTATAATTTATATTTTTTTGTGCATTACCGCGTGTGAATCCTCATAAATTTCTGTTTTTAAATAAAATAAAATAAAATAAAAAAATTGGCGGCGAAACACTTGATGTAATCCTAAATCATTGGAATCGCTTTCATACACCAGTTTTGTGGTATGATATTCACAACATGGGAAGTTTGCTAGGAAAATCAGGTTCTGGGAATTTTTTGACTAAAATTATGATCTAATAACATTAGTGTTTCGGGCGAAACTAGTTTCGCCAAATTGATCTTCAAAAATCTTTCCAAATTTAGGATTTCGGAGATTTCGGATAGTTTCGGATCATTGAAAAATTCTCTGGGCGAAACGTTTCGGATGTTGAAAAATAGTTTCGCCTGAAACACTAAATAACATCAAAAACTGAAATGCAAAAAAAGATCAAAATTTTGTTAAAAAACCCATATAATATTATGAGCCCAAAAGAAAAAAAATGTTGAATTAATCTTTATAAAGATATTTGAATTCACGGATTTTTTTTTATCGGATTTTATGGATATCAAGGTGAATAAAATTTTGATAGGGATTCGATAAATCATTTGTAAAGAAAATGTTACCATGGTAATCGATGTAAAAGGTTTTTATTGACAATTTGTGCGACAGTGACCCAAATGACCTCAAATGACTCTAATGACTGGTCATGTGTCATTTGGGTCATTTCAACATTAAATGACAAATGACAGTCATTTGCCTAAACTAATCAATATCTACCCCCTTAGGACCTCTACAGCATTTTTAATAATAGTCTAGAATCACCTAAATTTGTAAATGTGATGATTAATTAGATTCCAATTAGAATGATATTACATTTTTTTAACTGTAAACGGCATTATTAAATAAAACAATTTACATTTATAATTAAAACAAAATTATAATTATTACTTAATTTCAGTTAACAAATTTAAAAAAATTAGAGACGAAATAATTTTTTTTAATAAATGTTGGTATTGGATAATTCGGAGGTAAGTAATATTGAACATTATTTTTTAAAAAGATAACTAAATTAAATTCCTTACCCTTATTATAGATACCACCTTCTTCAAGACTTGATCATTCGAAGATGAAAAATTTGATGTTAATTTATTTTTTTAAAAGAAAGATCACTAAATTAATTTCTTACCTTTTTTGTAGATACTGAATTCTTAAGCTTGAATTATTCAGAGATAAGTCTGAGAAAAAATTTAATGTTAATTTATTTTTTAAAAAAAAAATCACTAAATTAAAATTTCTTACTTTTTTGTAGATACCGCCTTCTTTATGAGTTGACTTTCCAAAGGTAAGTCTATAATGAAAATATTAATGTTAATTTGTTTTTAAAAAAAAAAGATCACTAAATTAAAATTTCTTACCTTTTTATAAATATAACCTTTTTCAAGACTTAATCGTTCAAAGGTAAGTCTATGATGAAAAAAATTTATTTAAAATTAATTTTTTTTAAAAAAAAAAAAGATCCATGTTACTAATTTTTCTTACCTTTTTGTAGATACCTCCTTTGAATCATTCTGAGGTAAGTCTATGATGAAAAAAATTTATTTAATATTAATTTTTTTAAAAAAAAAAAAGATCCATGATACTAATTTTTCTTACCTTTTTGTAGATACCTCCTTTGAATCATTCGGAGGTAAGTCTATGATGAAAAAAATTATTTAATGTTAAATGCTGATGTTAAATATTCTTTTAAAAAAGA